TGGAATAGACTGACGATCCTCAGAGGGAAGGAGGTGGGTGGGCGGGAAGAGATGAAACAAAGATCTTATATGCATATATGCATTACCTTTGGACACAGACAATAGGGTGGCAAAGGCCGGGGCGGGCGGGAACCTGGTGAATGGGGGCAATGGTGAGGGTTGGGGGATGGGAGGGAAGAGGGACATTTGTAATAATCTCAACAATAAAGATTAAAAAATAAAAAATAAAGAGAATGCTGTACATAGGTGGATTGGGTATAAGGGAATTGGTACCATATTAACAAAAAAGAACTAATACAGATTGTAAATCAGTACATGGAGAGATGCTACTTGGACATTAAAAATGTAAATTAAATTACTGTGAGCTACTACTATGTGATATCATATCTACTAGACTGGCTAAATAGGAAAAAAAAAGATAGTATCAAATTTGGAGAAAGATGAAAACAAAGGGAACTCTAATAAATTGCCGGTGTAAAGACCTCCCTCCTAACTTCAGTCTCCTTCTTTTACATTCCATTCCTATTTTTATCTACAGCCATTTCTCATGATACATAGAGGAACGATGCTCACTACTTCCTCTCAGTTGGTAAAAAATTTCCCCCAAATTTCCTAGAATAAACTTCCTTTCATTTATCAGATGACTTTCCAGTGGGCTTCAGTCTCTCAGTCTCTCCAACATCATGTGGACCAAGGATTAAGGAAGTTTTCTCAAATCCTACTTTCAATTTTTGCATAATTAAAATGTCATTCTTACTCTGAAACTCATTCTTTGCATCCTAATTTCACTACTTGTTTCAACCTCTTGCAAATATCACAACAGTTATAGCCTTTCTAGATTTTAAGTCCACTTACATTGCTAATTGACTATGACATTGAGGTTCATGGCTCCTCCAATCCATTCGCCTCATGGTTTAAAGACCTCTTTGATCCACAGTACACTCTATCACTGTGACAACTAATTTGCCACGGTGGTCACAGGTGGTCACCAACCACAAATACCCTATGTCTTATCACAGCATCTTGACCATGCATTTCTTCCATTCTGCTATCCTTATTGGATTGTCTTTTTGCTCTTCCTATAACCTCAGGTACACAAATACTACCTTTTTGATCGTAGTTAATTCCTTTTCCAGCTTGAAGTACATGATTAGCTATTTTCATAAAATTCTTGCACTTGTTTGAACTTTCATCAGATCCTTGATGCTAATTTTCCACCATGGCCATACTACTAACTGTTTCCTTAGTTTCAGTGTTCTTCATAGAATGTTGCCAGAGAGCCACAGAAAAATAATGACACAGTTTGCTTCAAAGTAATGCCCACTTGCACCAATTAGGCCTGCATTGTTATCCAGCAGTGCTTTTAACCATCTTTTGGTGAACTATTCTGATTTGATTAATCCTTTCCCATCATTCTATTGAATAGAGTTTTAAGTGCAGCATTTAAAATTAATTTATTATGTGAATTTCCTTTTTTGGTACATTATTCCATTGGAAACATACAATAAATAAAATGAAATCACTCATACTCACTTAGAAATGGGATTGACACTGGCTTCAATAATTGTTAAACACTTACAGCACTTTATGCTCTCTGGAAAATCTTGTACACCTAAAATGTAAAAGAAAAAATACATGAAGATGTTGCAGTCAAAATTCTCTGAGCTATAATGATAATATTAAGAATAATTAATTATACAGTATAAACACTATGGGTATTATTAAGTAAAAATAAAAACTTAATGTTATATATATTTTCATCATATATACATATTTTATGATAGCTATAATTGGAAATTGGATAAAAATTTGAGGACAATTGTGTGTTTGGTATAAGATAGATCTTGACTCTTTACATATCTAAAGAAATAAAAATAGTTTGGATTCACTTAGTTATTATAGTGCCCTTACAGGAAAAAGGGGAAATCAGCAGATACAAGAAAACAGAAGATAAAAACATTTGCTCCCTTCATTTTATAAGATCGGGAAGATTGAACACATGCATCTGAAAAATACCTAAGGACAAATCACAAAACCAATGGATGTTCCCAAACGAATACTGTGCTCTAACGAATCTTATGCAATTCTTCCTGTTGGCACCGATGCAGCTCTGCATCTGCCTGGAGGGTGAAGAGGTGAGCAGCCCTTCCCAGGTCCTCTCTGGAGGCTCTGAGGCAGCAGCCTCCGTAGCTGCCCTTGGAGAACTGCTCATCTGCCGTCACAGCTGTGCTGTTGGCGATGTGACAGAAAAACACAAGTTTTTCTTCCTGAAAATTAGTAAGCCACAAAACCGAATCCGAAACATGAGTGTCAGGAATAAAAGATGTGGAGGGCATTTCACTCAACTGATACAAATGAGTCAAATATAGTAGCCCCTGCAAACGTTTAGAAGAGAAAACAGTTACTAGTATATGGAGCAATTCCTATGTGCCTGCCGTACTCTCTACTCTCAATTAAGGATATAAAAATGTCCACAAAATACCAGTCCTCCTGAATACTTCATACCTGACAGAGGGAGGAGAAACAGTTTGTGACAGGATTTAGTTGAACTTTTGTAGGTAGATACTTAAGAAAACCCTCCGCCTGCTTAGAGTCAGCGACCTAGACCACGCGACCACAGGACCCGGACACCCAAGAAGCAGCAGGTGGTTTATTCAGTGTCACGCAGGGTTGAGGACATTTCTCATGCTATTCTTCCCTACGCGAAAGGTCATCAGAAAGCATGCTGTCCTAACATTATTGCTAAAGTATTTTGCCTTCTTAAGGAGAACCCAAGTTTAGGAGCTCCATTTATGTATGAACTGAATGAGAAAGAACAATTCTCCTTTTTGGAAAGGTGTAACACCCAGAGCTGCCCTCATTAACTAGACATTAACAAAATGTCAAAGAAGTCAATAAGCTAACCCTTGAACTATCCTCCACATTCTTCCTTAGTATTTATATTTACTGTGGATGTCTGCAACCAACAGGGGGTAAGGCTTCTATTTTCCTCCCTTTAGCTCTTTCTGTTCAGTCACCAATCTGGGCTCATTACACTGTGTGCCCGATGCCGACTGTCCACACTGCCATAGAATGATATTTTCTGAAAGTATGTGTAAACCAAAATATGAAAGCAGAGCAAAATAGAACACGATATTAAGGAAAAGACTATGTCTCCTTATCGTCTACTGAAAATGGAATTCCCTGCTGTGTTGAAAATGCTGCTACATTATTTTTTATAAAACCTGTATTATGTTCACAGTTTAAACCTTAAATTGTTCAGAGCAGAGTCTCTTGGATGAAGATGGAATCCTAACTTTATTACTCAAACAGGTTGGGTAACCTTAGGCAAGTCATTTAAATGTATAATGTTCTAATTTCCTATTCTAAAGAATGGCGATTAAATGAATGGTTTCATCAAAGAAGTGCAGTGAGGATTAAAAAAGATAAATCGGATAAAGTAATTAGCAGGAAGTGCTGCATAAATGTTATCTATAGTTATTAGAAATAAACAGCAGCAGAGGGTAGCAGTCAAAAAGGAACCAACAATCAGGTGAAAACGAGCTGGCTTTAGGTATAAACTTGTAAAATTTATTGAGTTAGGAAAACACAGCAAAGTGGTAGGAATTAGTATGATGGAAGAATATCCCAATATTTGATCAATATAGTAGCTGACATAAATGCTCTTGCAGATGGGGGATAAGTTATAAAAAGATATGTATGAATATGCATATTTACACATATATTTATATCTTATAATATAAAAATATAAGGTATCCCAATAATGTATACACGCACTTTGAATAATGATAAATTCGGTGTTTTTTTTTAAAACACATTTCATTGTCAAAATTGAGCTATCAGCTGTTAAAGTGTGTATACATTTTTTTGTGGACATGCTGTATAACTAGTTTGTACTGAGCAATATTTTTATATTTTTGCTGAGGTTCTTATAGCTATCTTAATTTGCTTATGAGAGCTGGGATTTTTGAATTTAGGAAAAGTTCTTAGAGCATAAACCCATCTTGTAGTTCAATCTAAACATGGAGAGGGAAGATAGCATAGTAGTTAAAAGCACAGGTTGGCAAGGTGACTGAATCCCTGTGTTATCACTTCACTAGCCATGTAATTTTAGACATTATAATATTTGAGTGTTATGAGTATTAGCTGGTATTGATGTAAAGCACTTAGTAGCATGTCTGGCACTTAACACGTACCTAATAAATACTATATAAAATTCATGTATTAATAAAATGAAAGGTAACAAACTTCTCTATGCCATTGTATAAAATAATTTCATTCTTCTATTAATCTTGTGAGGAAGATATATTAAGCAACATTATTTTCATTTCATGGATGGAAAACCACACATTCACAAGAATTAAGTGACTTGCTTAAATACTTAATGAGTGTTTATAGATGGAAATGGATATAGGTGGGATTTAATTCAATTTTTCAACATCATATCTCCTGTTCCTCTTTACCCCATTATGTTACTTCCTATTAAAATGATGTTAGACTTATTGTAGAACTCACATTTTTATTACCAATCTTTGAGATTGGTCTGTCTGATTCTCTGAAACACAGTATCTTTGAATAATTAAAAAGGATATATATATATATATAAATTATATGTTAAATATACACACATACACATTTTTTAGATGGATTATGTACTGATTTTCAAATTTATTTATTCAGAAATAGGGAGATAAATATCTTTTACTTTTACAATTTATCTTATTCCAATTATTTTTACTTGTGATTACTGGAGAAAATCAGATCAAATATTTTTAGACCATACCTAGTACAATGCAAGTTCTAATCCCTATTTTTCAGTTGACACATCACATAGGCTTTCTAACACATCCCTTATTTAAGAGCATCACAATTGCATTCTTTTGGGAATCCCTGGAGATTCAAGCTCATAATGTTTAGACTAGATTTAAACTTAGGCTGAACAACCAATGAGGAATGTATCCTAAACTAGTTACACAAGAAGCACTATGTTTTATAAGCAAAATGGTATATTTATTTTTAAAAATGGACAACTGCCCTATTCACAAATAGCAGATGACATTGATAAATGTTTACCATCCAAATTAGGACATTGCAGTAATATTTTCCCAATATGTTTACTTCAGTAACTATATCACAAAATCTCTTTTGAATATGTCCACAGAAATACTGTCAAATGAGAAATGACATTTCTGCATTGGAACTTAAAATACCTTAGAAACAAAGATCCTAATGCAATGGAATTATTGATAATTGCATTAACAAAATATGAATATCTGGAAGAAGAAAAGACATAATAGACTTCTTTATCTGTTTTCTTTTCCCTTTCCCTTTTAAAAAAAATTAGGCTGAAAAAATTCCTATTCAACTTTCAATTATTCAAAAACGACTTCACTTTGTGCGGTTTTCATTCTTGTTCACTTTCCTGCTGCCTCCATTTGACCACTTCACTGCTGTACAGAAGGGAGAGGGAAGAATTCTGAAATCAATCCAATCTGAACCTTTGCTGCCTAGCATGGAAAAGTTGAAATTCATGGCTAAATTGAGGTTTTAGTATACAGTATTCAGTTAATTGTTTTCACCTTGACTACTCTGTTTATTACTAATACAGACAAATAGGTCTCACAAAAGGATTTTAAGACAGTAATAAATACAGTGTTCAGCCCTAGCCAGTTTGGCTCAGTGGATAGAGCATCGGCCTTTGAACTGAAAAGTCCCAGGTTCTATTCTGGTCAAGGGCACATGCCTGGGTTGTGGGCTCGATGCCCAGTGGGGGACTTGCAGGAGACAGCCAATCAATGATTCTCTCTCATCATGGATGCTTCTATCTCTCTCCGTCTTCCTTCCTCTTGGAAATCAATAAAAATATATTTGAATAAATAAATAAATATAGTGTTCAACTTTATTTAATTATAAAAAAAGGATTGTTGAGGAAAGATTGGCTTCAGAAATGAACAGGCATAGTTCATCTGCACTAATAAGCAAAAATCAGAGAATATGGGTGCAGATGCTGGTCTATGGGTAGATATGATGGTAACAGTCTATGGAAGTTATCTTCTGAGAGCGTTAATATTCTCAGTGGAGTAGGATGAATAGCCGTGAAGATGGCGATGAAGTGTGGAAGGCTTGAAGACAGAAGAAAACATGTGACATAGTCACCAGAAGAGGAACATCAATGGATAAAAGAAGTTGGGAAGCATGAAGGCTGTACTTAGATGTTGCAACCATGAACTTAAAGTGATACCAACCAGCGTGATTGAGGATTTTCCCCAGTTCCTTTCAGCAATAGGTAGAGTTGGATGCGGCCAGAATTATAATTTTACTGAGCACACACAGTGCCATGAGATAAAAGCAAGGGTGTCAAAGGGAGTCATCTAATGATTAAGCATGGCATTTAAGCCACGCAAAAAGGGCAGAGAAAACAAAAAGGAAAAATCCTGAGAAGGTGGTGGCATTGATAGATTGGTGGTTCTGCTGGGGTCAAAGGGTGGCTGGAATAGTAGAAGAGGTATTCTAGAAAGACAGGATGGAGTCAGAAAGTAAATTTTTTTAGTTGACATTCAATATCTTGATATTCCTGACATGATCTTGATCAGACTCAAGAAAACAATGGTA